AATTAAACCGATAATAATATATCTAAAGTCATATGTATAATTAGAATAATGTAATATTTATTAATATAAATTATACATATAAATTGATTCAAAACTAAAACTAAAACTAAATATCAATCAATGATTATAAAATTTTAGTTTTATGAATATTCATACCCGTGCATGAGCACGGGAAAATCACCTAGTATTAAATACCTTTTGGGTCTGAAAATAATAATTTATTTTTTGATTTTTTATGGTGAAAAGTTTATTCAATGTTTTTAGAGTTTTTTTCTTAATACTAAGCCCAAAAACCAAACTATATAATTTGTTCAAAAAATAAAAGTAAGTCCAAGACTATATTCTATAAATAACCACTGGTTTAGTTTAAGTATAATTAGTAGATTTCCATATTCCATATTTTGATGATATATATTCTTTTAGAACATTCCATATTTGTAGGAGAAAATATGTGTTTTTGGTATACACATAGATACCTACAATATTTTAAAGGTAGTTTACATTAAGATCGTCTCTTTACATATTTGTGTTGGTTTAATTTAAGTAATACGGTTCAGTCAATTATATGACTTATATTATTGTAACATTCTAGAATGAGTCCAAATTTAAATAACAACTTGTATCAGTAGATAAAAAGAATGACTCTATTTTAATAGAGGACTAGATTTTAATCCGCGCAACTGCGCGGGATTTGTTTTCATATTTATATACATATATATTAGTTTTATATCATTAATAACGTTAGTCATATGTTTAAATGTTTGTATAATTATTACAAACACAATAATTTTATAGCTTGTATGTTAATATCAGTTGTTTCAATAGTTTCTTTTTATATATAATCTTATTGGATTTATATTTAATTATTAATATTAATATATGCATGAAAATCATATTTGAAAATTACTTTATATTTAATTTATACTAAATTATTATCTGAGTTTCAAAGCTAGATTACCGTTTAGCAAACTTTTTATGTTTATATAGATAATATGATATTATAAAAGTTTGAGATATGTTAATTTTATACATTTATTTATAGTTACTAATCTTAATCCGTTCTGCCAATATATTTTATATTTTTAAAATTAATATTTTCTATTTTGAAAATAAAATTGATTAATTTATCAATTTAATATAATTTTATAACATTCACTTGATTATAATAGTTTCATTTAATATGATAGATTATGATAATGAAATAGATAAAAAGAATAACATTTTGTTTTCATTATATATATATATATATATATATATATATTAATGTATAATTAATTTCATTACTAATTCGAAATTATACAAGTTATTAATTAGTAAAATATTTATATAATGTTTTTAAAGTTAAGATCTTGCTAAAATCTTTTCAAGAGATTTGTTAAAAAGAATTAATACATATTTAAAATAGAAAGATATCAAAAGATATTATGATTGAAGTGGTTACAAAGAAATGAAATATATTTAATAAAGTTTTTTTTGCTAATGGTTTAAATGAAAAAAAAGACACACATGAAATGAGTCATGACTTCTCTTTTAATATAATAGATAGATAGATAGATATATATTTTTGGTATTTGTTTTATGACGAGTCTATACGGTATTTACCAAACGGGTCAGATGTAGAGGTGTCAAAATGGATAATCCAACCCAATCCAAACCATATCCATGTGAACCAAATCTCTTATGGATTATGGATAAATCCAATCCATTTAACTAATGGTTTGGATCAACCCATTACCCATTAGAATTAATGGTTTAATGGTTTTAATGAGTTGACTCACTATTAAATATGATCAATATTATAAATCAATTAAACTAAGTAAATAATTATGTAAAATTTCCAAATAAAAATATCATTAACTGTATCTAAAATATGATTATTCAAATCTACAAATACAAAAGAAAAAACTTAAAACAAAGTATTTTTATTTGAAACAACATTATATGAAAAGTCATCCCTCACACTCTCACAGCCTCACCAATACAAATAGATTCAGACATTTTCCCAAAACAAAGTCTTGTGCCATTTACCACGAGTCTTTTTAGAAACATGTAGTAAGTCTTGTCTCAACTGAGTAAGTTTAGAAACCTGCAGCAGAGACAAACAAAAGTCTGTGACAACACAATAAGTCAATAAACATGAGACGTATTCAACAGATAAGATGATCCTATTAAACCTTTCTCTAGTTCCTCTCTATGGGTGTATTTCTTTGGCTACTTCTTGATTGCTCTTCCACATCATTTATACCTGCTCGAATGATAACTGCTTCACCTTCGCCATCATCTACAATACAATAACGTTAACATACATCATAAATTAGCAGCAAACCAATCAATAGAATATATTACTTATACCTTCATCATCAAGAATGTAGCCATGTATCCAAGAACGTGTACATAACAAAGCCTGGACATTACTAGGCAACAATCTACTCCGATATTTGCTTATAACTTGAGAACCAATACTAAAAGAAGATTCAGACGCGACAGTAGTGATAGGAATGCTAAGCACATCCATTGCCATATATGTTAGAGCACCAAAACGAAACCTGTTTTCTTTCCAGTACTGCAAGACGTTCAAGTTCGGATGATTCCTCATATCTAACTTTGGATCCTCCAAATACATATCCAAAGATGACTTTCCTTCTTCCATATAATCTGGAACATCATCTAAGTCGAACAGATCCTGTAACATTAAAAAAAAAAAGATCACAAATCATTTGAGATTTAAACATAAGTTAAACAACTTGAACTAAGAACTTACATCTTGCACATCCAAATTTCCTCTTCCTCTTTTAGCAACACGAGAGTCTACTCTTGTAGTGCTCACAACTGGAGTTAAAGGATACTTCTTTCTATACTCATTAAAAAGCTCATAAAGCTTATCCTCAAGGTGNAAAAAAAAAAGATCACAAATCATTTGAGATTTAAACATAAGTTAAACAACTTGAACTAAGAACTTACATCTTGCACATCCAAATTTCCTCTTCCTCTTTTAGCAACACGAGAGTCTACTCTTGTAGTGCTCACAACTGGAGTTAAAGGATACTTCTTTCTATACTCATTAAAAAGCTCATAAAGCTTATCCTCAAGGTGTTTTACCTTTTCTTTCGAAGTGAATGGATCAAGCTCATCATAACAACGTTTCAACAGTCTGAACTTCATCCTAGGATCAAAGACAGCACCCATTGCAAGAATAACACTGTATTGTTCCCAATATTTATCAAACTTCTTTCTCATCTTAGAAATCATCTCTCTAATTATGCTATCTTCATGGCCCCTGTTCACTTCCAACAAGCATTGAATCTTCCAGATATGCCCAAAATATAAATTAGACGTCGAATAGCTTGTCCCAGACATCAGATTTGTAATACAGTAAAAAGGCATCAATATCTCATGGATAAACTTTGCTCTCTTCCATTCTTGACTCGATGGACAGTGTTTGTAGCTTTTATCAACCACTTTAAATCTATTTAAAGCACGCTCATACTTCAAAGCCTTCTCAAGCATCAAGTAAGTTGAATTCCATCGATGCTGAACATCCAAACACATGACAACTTCCTCATCACCTTCTATACAATCTGCGAGTGCAAGCCTTCTAGATGTTGAAGCTTTGAAATACTTAACAGTATCCCGAATCTTAGACAATGCAGTAGTAATGACATCTAAACCATCTTGTACTATAAGATTTAAGATGTGTGCACAGCACCGCACGTGAAAAAACTCTCCTTTGCACAACAGATTATCATCTAAATTCAGCCTATCCTTCAAAATCTCTTGCATACAATCATTAGCTGTGGCATTATCTAATGTCAAAGTGAACACTTTTTTCTCAATCCCCCAGTCTTTCAAGCATTCATGAATTTTACTAGCTAAAACATCACCAGTGTGCGGAGGAAGCAAATCACAGAATGACAATATTTTGCTATGCAATACCCATTTTGCATCAACATAATGAGCAGTTAAAACTATATACCCATCTCCCGAGATTGTAGCAGTCCAACAGTCAGACGTTAAACATATCCTACTAGGGATATTTTGTAACTCAGACTTCAATTTTTGCTTCTCTTTCTCCCAAGTTCTAACTACGTCAGCTGCAGCAGTGTTCCTCGTATAACACTTATAATCGGGGTTTAAATAACTAAGATAATCCCTAAGTTCTTCATATTCAACTGAAACAAAAGGAAGGTTATGACGGATAATGACCCTACTAAATTTTTCCCTAGCAACTTTATCATCAATCTTCCTCTCTCTTCTCTCACCATCTAATTCATGTGAGCATTTCTCAGCATGACGCTTCAGGTTAGATGTACCACTAGTTCTAAACCACAAATAGCTTTGTGGACACTTCTTACAATATGCTCTCTCTTGACCATTCTCATCCTTTCCTATTGTAAAGTAGTCCCATGCAATTGATCTCTTAGTTCTTTTTGAAACAGAAGAACTTACACGACGAGATTGCGATGCAGTTGATGATTGTCCACCACCACCATTAGGTCCATCACCACCATTAGGTTCATCATTTTCCATGACTTTTAGCTACTGAAAAATCAAAAACAATAAGCTTTCACTCAATAAACAGTCTGTATTGTAAGTTAACACTCAGCCAAAGCATAAGCATAAGAACCAAATCATAAGCATAAAGCAATCATAAGCATAAAGAAATCTTCACAATCTGAACCAAAGCATAAGAACCAAATCAAACGAATAAGCAAACAACACTTAAGCTAAACTGAAATAGCTTAAGAACGATGAGCAGAATGATATCTTGAAAAGGATTAGCAGAAACCATAAAATTGTAATCGATAATAACCATCAAGCTTAAAGCTCAGAGTAGAAAACATCAAGCTTAAAGCTATTTCACATAAAAAAAGAAGACAACTAAACTAATCGATAATAACCATACATTTTGGGGCTATTCTTAGAGGGTGCAAAGAGAGGAATTGATCTTTCTAAGCAAAATATGGACTAATTTAACTTAGAAAGAAAAAAAGAACAAGCTCATGGCTGCGGTAATGCCAGCAACAGAAAGCTTGACGGTGGACACGGCACCGCTTGATGGTGACTCTGCACTGGGTCTGTCACTTGGTCCATCAGCAGTAAATAGACCAAAAAAGAAGAAGCAAACAGCCAAGGAAGAGAAGAAACAAATAATTCTATATAAACGTACAAAATGATCTGGTTTCTGTATTTAACATAAATGTGTACAAATCAATACATACAAGAAAAGACAAGAACGTGTATTCAATTATTTCTTGGGTCTCAAGCTATCTCTCTATTTAGCTTCCATGGGACAAAGATTTCACCAAAAATTATATAGAAAAAGCCTAATAAGAACTACACATCAAATGAAAAGAGTTATATGTGTATCAAAATGTGGTTTTTTAATATGTTTTTTTCCTTTGAAGTAACATCTTAGCTTAGCACAAATCTCCTTTTTCTGCTTTTTTTTGGGTATAAATCAAAACATCATCATGTTCTACAGAAACAGAGACAGTGACTCTAGTACTTTGATTGAAGAAATATGAATACGACCAAGGTACAAGTGCAGAGAAAGGTTTATAAAATGAAAGCTGAAAGAGAGAAAAGAATTATTTAATTTTTTTTTTGCATTTTATAACTAAAGAAAATCTGTTACCTCATAAACTGAAACTTCTATTTGTTTGTTTGTTTGTGTGATAACAGCTACTCAGAAGACAGTTGATGGTCCATCATCCAAGGACTGGAGAGGTGGAAGAGCTGCTTCCTTCAACATCATTCCCAGCAGCACCGGAGCTGCCAAGGCTGTCGGAAAGGTGCTTCCACAGCTCAACGGAAAGTTGACCGGTATGTCCTTCCGTGTTCCCACCGTTGATGTCTCAGTTGTTGATCTCACTGTTAGACTCGAGAAAGCTGCAACCTACGACGAAATCAAGAAGGCTATCAAGTAAGCATTCTGTTCCAGTTAACATATATCAGTAGTTTCATCATATCTTTTGTAAGATGACTAACTTGATTGCATTGTCACCAATGTACACAGGGAGGAATCTGAGGGAAAGGTTTATAAAACTTTTTCTCCGTTTAATCCTAAAGAGCACTCTTGTTGAGTGAGATCATCAATCAAACACACAATTTTTTACAACCTAATTTGGTAACGAANTCCAGTTAACATATATCAGTAGTTTCATCATATCTTTTGTAAGATGACTAACTTGATTGCATTGTCACCAATGTACACAGGGAGGAATCTGAGGGAAAGGTTTATAAAACTTTTTCTCCGTTTAATCCTAAAGAGCACTCTTGTTGAGTGAGATCATCAATCAAACACACAATTTTTTACAACCTAATTTGGTAACGAAAGTAATTAGTGAAGCATCTTATGGTTCTATTGATCATACAAGGCGTCTGCTTAGCCATAATTGAATTCAAAGCCAATTTCTTATTGATTTCTATAAGAGCTGCTCTTGATTCCCTCATAAACTCAGGAACGTTCTCTTCTTCCTCAACCACAAAACTAAACCACAAGGTGTTAATCTGTTGTGAGCTGAGCTGAGCTATGAAGAGAATATAAAAACCCAAATCAAAGCGAACAACTATGATCCAAATCTCCGCACTGATCAAACGATGAGAACCCATAATTGAACTTAGAGTCAAAGAATCAAAGAGAAACACTGATACACAATCAAAGAGATACACAACACAATCAAAGAGAAATTCCAGAAGAATCAAGAGCTTAGAGTCAAAGAATCAAGAGCTTAGAGTCGAACTTCAATTGATGATTATACCTTGATAACTTCAACAGAGTTGACGAGATAGGCCACAATCGTCGACGAGATCCAAGCAACAATCGTCGAAGAATCGAGAAGAGATCGTGAAGATTTTGAGATTTTGAGATCGTCAACAAACCCTAAAGTCCTAAACTCCCAACGAAGGTTTACAGATTAGATCGTGAAGATTTTTTTTTTTTTTTTATATATATTAGATTGAAATGGTTTGGATTGGGTTGACCATTAACCCATTTTGGTACAAAACCAAATTAATCCAACTTATTAAATCCACTAAACCATTAAATCCATTTATCCATTAGCAACCAAATTTATGGCTCATTAAGATCCATGGATTGGATTGGTTTGGACTGATCCATTAGTTTGAGCTCATTTTGACATGTCTAGTCAGATGTATTGATACTTTGACGAAAAAAAAAAAGAAAGAGGGCACGTGAGTCACGTCACGTGGAGCCTCTGTTTATTAACATTTCTCGACCGAATTCGAAAGCCCTAGAGCCAGAGTTCTCTCTACTCTTCGAAGCTTTCTCCCACCAAACCACCAACCCAGATCTCAATCTTCATCCAGGTGAAACCCTACGCCTCTCTTTTTCTATATTCTTGTTTTTCTTATTCTGTTCCGCTGGGATCTCTCCTTTATCGGATTTCAGATTCAGATCAAATATCTTTCACTCTAGAGTTTTCTCTTGTCTTGTCTTATAGCTTAATCAAGTCTTTTTTTTTACCTGTGAAACGCTTCTTCGTTTCAATTACTAATGTTTCTGTTTGAATTGCGTTTTTTTTTACTTTTTTGGGTTAAAGGAAAAAGAAGATGAGCAGCCGTTCAAGTAGAACTATTTACGTCGGAAACCTTCCCGGCGATATCCGCGAGCGAGAAGTCGAAGATTTGTTCAGTAAGGTATACAACTTCGTTTCTTCTCACTCTTCAGTTTAGTTTCTTGAGATCTGATCATAATTATTCTCTTTTTGTGTCTTTGGCAGTATGGACCTGTTGTTCAAATCGATTTGAAGATTCCACCAAGGCCTCCTGGCTATGCCTTCGTCGAGGTCAGCTTGTTATACAATAATCATGTTTTTATTTTCATTTATGAGCTCACTTTCTGAAACATGTGATTTGTTGGCTTTAGTTTGAGGATCCTAGGGATGCTGAAGATGCAATTCATGGTCGTGACGGATATGACTTTGATGGCAATTGTTTACGGGTTTGTAACTGTTTATCATCACAAAATTCCACAACTTTAAGTCGAAAAGGTTTGATTTTTGAGGTGTTTTTATTGTATTTGATGCATGTTGAGTCCATTTCAGGTGGAGCTAGCACATGGTGGGAGGCGTTCATCTAATGATGCTCGTAGTAGTTACGGTGGTGGTAGCCGCGGTGGTCGTGATGGTGGGGATCGTGGACGTGGACCATCTAGGAGATCTGAGTACCGAGGTATGTATGATTAGTTTAGGATTTGATTAAGTGTGTTCAAAGTTATTGGAGAGAGCTCTGATTTTTTTTTTTCTTCTTCCACTATACAGTTATTGTGTCAGGTTTGCCTTCATCTGCTTCATGGCAAGACCTCAAGGTGAACATTTTAAGACTCTTTAGACCTCAGTGTGGACAAACTCTTTAAAGTTGTTTTCATAATCACCTTTTTTTTGTGTGAGTTTAGGATCATATGCGTAAAGGAGGAGAAGTCTGTTTCTCTCAAGTGTTCCGTGATGGTAGAGGTAACTTCTCATATCTTACACAAGAATAAAGATGTTTGTAAAGCTGGTTCTGTTTTTTTCTACGTGTAAATAAGTTATAACTTTTTAGTAGTCTGTTACCTGCTTTTAAAAATTTTATATCTTGGACTATTTTATATTCAGGTACAACTGGAATCGTGGATTATACCAGCTACGAGGACATGAAGTATGCGGTGAGATGTTCTTCTTGTTCCTAATCTTTGATTGTTTTTGTGGGTTCATTTGATTACTCATGAGTATATTCTTCACTTTCTACAGATAAAAAAGCTTGATGACACTGAGTTTCGGAATGCGTTTTCTCGTGGATATGTCCGGGTATGCTTATGTCAAATATCCTGAGAGCTGTATTTTTTTCATTATTGCACTTAACGTTTCCCTACATCATCAATTATAGGTTAGAGAGTATGATTCAAGGAGGGACTCGAGAAGCCCTAGCCGTGGAAGATCTTATTCTAAGAGCCGCAGTCGTAGTCGTAGTCGCAGCCGTGGGAGGAGCCACAGCCGCAGTCTTAGCCGCAGCAGAAGCAGGAGCAGGAGCCCAAAGGCTAAATCATCGCGTAGGTCGCCTGCACGATCTACATCGAGATCTCCTCGCTCCCGCTCTAAGTCAAGGACACCACCTCCAAGAGGGTATGTTTCGTTTCTTATATTATGTTTATGCTAAATGTTCACCGTATATCCTCTAAACATAGAATAGGGCTTAGCTCTTCCCTTGGGGTTTGTTGACATCTCATTAACATCAGTCATTGGGGAGACTTGTGAGTTGTGTATCAAGAATGATCACGGATGATTACTTCTAGTTAAGGGGGTTAGTTATTTCCTTCTGAAAGTCTGGCCTTATATTGCTGAGAATGGTTTTGTTTCCTAGATATGGATACACTTACAATCAACTAAAAATTGGGGATTAATCTGGATCATGGATTACTTGGTTGGTTGTGCACTAGTGTTTCGTCTCAGAGGTACATGCTCCTTAGAGAGGCAACTTTGGAATTGAATCTCTGTCTCCTTATTTTCTGATGATATACATTGCTGTTAGATGGGTAACAGTGGAGAGACATTGGATCGCATTGTTGTAGTGTCATCGATATGGATTCATTGATGACAGAGCTAGATTCTCATGGAACCGATGCTGTGCTCAGGACACAGGGTTTGATAGAACTTAACTTTCATCTCTGCCCTCGGTTTTAACTTAGAAAAACATGCGTATTAGTTTATGTTCTCTGCTAGAAAGCGTCTAAACTTGGTGTTCTTTCTGCTTTCTTGTGGTATCATTTTTGCATCTCTGACATGGGATGAGGCATCAAGGCACTTGGTGACACAGCTATTATACACGGAAAACATATTGGAATTTTAAACTGGATTTTGTTTCTCGGACTTTTGCAGATCTCGTTCAAGGTCAAGATCCTCTCTGCCTCCTGTAAGTGATATTTAATCTAGATACAATTTACTGAGCTCTATATATGGCTTTTGAGCCATACCATCTAAAAGACAAGATATATGTTCTTAAGCTACTTAGGAATTTACACTCATCATCTTTTGCGTGTTGCAGGTTCAGAAGGAAGCAAGCAAGAGCCCTACCAAGGTGAGCCCAGCCAAGAGCCCTATGCGTAGCAGGAGCAAGAGCAGAAGCAGGAGTCCATCTCGGTAATGCACACTACACTGAACTCACTATCTTTTACTTGTTTGGCTCCTTGTCTGAATCTCTCGCTAACTTATTACAGGTAAACCGAAAAAAGAGGGCTGGGTTGTCGGAAGATTCTCCTAAGAATCATATCTATATTATGTTGTTCGTTTGTCTAAGACTTAAGTACCGATATTACTCTTGTTTTTATTTTATTTTTAAATGTATCACTGCAACAGTATGTGTTTAATATTCTGTTGACATATTTTTACTTTTATTTTTTATATTTTGATATATTACTGCAGCAATATGAGTTGAAGATTCTCTTCTTTTCCTTGATACGAGTTAGTTTGAAAGATTGATAAAATAACTTGTTTTAAAATTAACCAATGTTAGAAAAAGAAAAATTAAGTTTTCTCTGAAATATAAACTGTTCTTTTTATTTTGTGAAATTCATATTCATTAAATATTGTAACTTTGTAATTGAACTAATTACATCCATTTCGAATTCTTGTACTATTTGTGCTGTATTATATTATAAAATGGAGGGAGGAAATATATTTTAATACATTCACCGCAACAATGTATGTTCCAAGAATCTCTAAAGGATCTCCTCGTTTTATTGCATTATGTCGCGCATTATTCACTTGTTTGAATATGTGATCCACATTAAACGTATTGAAATATTCCGGTTTAACCAAACCAGATAAATACACATTTTAAAGAATTCGATAGAAATTAAAAAAGATAATCGAAAGTAAAGAGTGGATAAGCCATTAATTTCAGCGGTCGAGAAAGAAAGAGAGAACAAAGAGGATCCATGGCGGAATCTGATTGCTTCTCCTTCGTACCAGAAGACGTCGTCTTCAACATCTTCTTCAAACTCCAAGACGATCCTCGAAACTGGGCTCGTCTCGCATGCGTCTGCACCAAATTCTCCTCTATCGTACGAAACGTCTGCTGTAAATCTCTCTGCTACTCTTCAATCCCCACCGTCGTCTCCGAATTCCTCCCTTCTTCCTCCTCCGCCGCTTCCGCTTCTTCATCTTCTTCGTCTCTTCCTCCTCCCGGTGGCTGGGCTTCTCTCTACAAACTCGCCGTCTGTTGCCCCGGTCTCTTCCACGCCGGAATCCTCCTCGAAAACTCCGATTTCGGTTTAGAACGTGAGCTCGGTCCCGATCAAAGCCTCGATCCGAAACCTAAACCGACGGATCCGGGCCAATTTTCGAAACAAGTCGAATCTGGTTTGCAAACGTCGTCGTTTCAGTCTACCTCGAAACAAATCGGATCTGGTTCAGAAGAAATGCCGTCGCTTCAGTCAGTTACGAAACCACTCGGATCTGGTTTTGAAACGTCGCCGTTTCAGTCAGTTACTAAACAAATCGGCTCTTATTTAGAGAAAACGCAGTCGTTTCAGTCTGTTTCTAAACAAGTCGGATCTGGTTTAGAAGAAACGCAGTCGTTTCAGTCTGCTTCGAAACAAATCGGATCTGGTTTAGAAGAAACGCCGTCGTTTCAGTCTGCTTCGAAAGAAATCGGATCTGGTTTAGATAAAACGCAGTCGTTTCAGTCTGTTTCTAAACTAGTCGGATCTGGTACAGAAACGCAGCCGTATTGGTCACTCTACGACGATCTCTACACAGACACACTCCCCGCTCCTCCAGAAGCTTCCGTCCCCGAACCACAAGAACCCACCGAAACCACCGAGATCCGACCCGGCCACAGCGACCTCCCAGCCAAGAAACACCGCAAGATCTCCCGATCCCTCGGATCCCACCTCGCTTCCGGAGGATGGAAGCTAAGCCGGGAGGAAGGCAACAAGCTCCTCGCGAGCAGGTTCCGCGGGGACTGCCTATACATATGCGACTGGCCAGGGTGCATCCACGTGGAGGAGAAGCGTAACTACATGCTGTTCAGAGGGGTGTTCAAGGATTTCAAGAGGTCACGAGTGTGGAGGACGATCAAGGACGTTGGGAGGAGTAGTAAGGTGAATGGGTTGAAGTGTGCGTTTTGTGAGTGTGAGGAGACGTGGGATATGCACTCGTCGTTTTGTTTGAGGAGAGTGTTTGGGTTTCATGATGATGGTGAGCCTGCTGTCAGGGCTTATGTTTGTGAGAATGGGCATGTCTCTGGTGCTTGGACTAATTTGCCTCTCTACACTTGAAAAGGTTGAAGGTTGTGTCTGGAAGAGAAAAAAACTGTGTCTTTATTGTTTTTTGATGCTTTGTAGGAACTAGGAACTGTGATCGTTTATTTGTGTTGTTGATCCTAATTTTATGTATAAGAAACGGGATTCAGTTTCTGTCTTTGCTTGTACGGTTGTTTTATTATCAATTTGCTTTGGGTTGTCTTGTTTGATGCTTTGTAGGAACTGTTAGCGTTTGTGTCGTTGGTTCTGACTCATGTAGAAGTTATACGTTGACTAAATTAATGTGGTGGTTTTTTATATGAAATTAGATTCACTTTCATTTTTATCTTATGATTGTTTCATTATCTTGAATCTTGTATGATTGTTTTTTTTTTGTTTAACCGGCTATCATATGATTGTCATATGTATAAAAAAGAACTTTGTTCATTAATGGTGTAGGCCTGTATTAGCTTCTATAAATTTTGCTGTCTCGACAATTCACATAAGAAGAATGCTACCTCCCAAACTCAAATGTCAGTGCATTTGACAATGCCAAAAATGCAAACTGTGAAGTAAACAAATCCCTAAAAGCAATAGAGTAAAAATATTTTTGAAAAGAGGAAGTAAACCTTAAAAACCTTAAACAGCTAATGAGCTTGAAAGCAAAACATAATACTAAGTTCATCTCTGGAAGGAACACTGTCGTGTCTTCTTCACTTGTCTTCCTTAACAACATCTACTGGTTTTGCTTCTTCCTTGACGGTTTCATCTTTCTTGTCTCCTGGTTTTGCAAATTCTGTTGCAATTACAAAAAGCATACGTTATTACAATTGATGACACAAACCAGAGAAACACCAAAGTCTGAACAAAATGCAGCCTTAAGACTAGTTAACATCATCTCAAATGCAGTATGAGCTACTTGACTAACAAAGACATTCAACTAGGCAAAGTGCCTCTCAGTTCCTCAAGAAGATGTGACACAAATATAGACTAAGAAGATCTTTAAAAACCCTTACCGTCACCATCACTGTCTTCAAACTCTTCCATTCCACCCATACCTCCCATGCCGCCAAGTCCTTCAAGTCCGGCCATACCTCCCATTCCACCCATGCCGCCGAGTCCTTCCATGCCACCCATTCCGCCAAAGTTCTGCAAGTAGAAAGAATCGACCATCAAGTCATCTCACAAAGCTATATGAAGTAGAAGAAAGACAACATTCACAAACGCTAGAAACAAACCGAGAAATCCATTCCACCCATTCCTCCCATATCCATATCTCCAGCACCTAAATCAAAACAATAAGCAGAAACCAGTTAACACCTCCAGAACTTTATATAAACTGCATAGTCTCTACATACACACAAATAGATACATAAAGCTTTAAGACGAATACTAACCAGCGTTGCCTTCGTCGTCCTCATCTACCCACTTGTCCCAATCAATCAGCTTATTCCACCTTTCAGGCTCTGCTTTCTCTATTATACAGAAGATATTTCTTACTCCAATGTTAATCTTGCTTTCCTGAAAAATCAAAGAACGGTTTTAGAAAAAGGCAGTAGATGAAACACAGGAGACCAGGTTAGTCAACGAATGCCACCTCTACATTGACTTTATCGTGAAGCTCGAGTTTAAGTTCATAAACATGGTTTTCAGGACCAGCTTTTGCATAGAAATCAAAGACTCCTTCAGGGTCTAGATTAACTTTAGTCTCTTTAGAATCAGCTAATACTACAGTGAGGAAGATCTTGTCAGTGGTCTCAGCCCACTTCACTTCGGGATGGCGACTGCAAAACACACTTGAAAAGCATATCAGACCCAAAGAACATAACAAAAGAGAAACATCAAATATAAATACACATAAAGAAACTGTCATCTAATTTAATACTAATACCTGGAAGTTCAATTAATACCAAATAACAAAATCAAATTTTATAACACAAGCTTAAACCCCCAAAAACCCTAATTTGTATTCCGGATTCCTCAGGAACCCAATGACAGCGTAGCTTTAAATAGACTGACACTATTTATTAAAATTCGAAGATAATAACAAAATTCATTAAAAAGGATTCATAATAACCCACCTCATGTTTAGTAGATGAAGCTTGGAGGAGAAGAACCCTAGCTTGGTCCCTTAGCTTTGATCGACAGAAGCAAGTTAAATGCGCCACATAGATTGTGTTATAGTTACACGAAGTGATTATTATGTACAAGCTAGTGTACTAAACATTAGGTGAGTCAAGACGAATCAACGGTTCGAGATTGAAAAACTGGGGATTCTAAATATTGAACGGTTTGGAGTAGACTTGTTTGCTACGCGATTACTGATTTTGATAATCAGAGTCCTTTTTGACCCGGGGCACAAGGGAACCAACCCCCTTGCAATACCACTAGACCACCAACACTTTTGTAACTTAAATCATCTTTGTTACCACACCAAAGAATTAATGCTCATCATCTATACACCAGATCATCATCATAACCAGTTGATTGTTAGTTACCGCTTCAAACTATTTTTTTCTGAAGCTGAAAGGCTATATTATAGGAAATACATACGATGGGGGTTGGAGATTTAGCTATGATCACTACTTTAAAAAGTCTCATCGTACAGAATCAAAAGTCCGGAAAAAAAAATCAGAATGTCTGGTGGTCTGGTTGGTTCTTCTCTTTGGGAACCAACATTGGAGGATCCTTCTGAGTTTGCTGGTACTAAGTTACCAAAGAGAGAACATACGATTTACGGATGGTCTACCTGTTGGAACTAATAGGATACATACATTAGAGAGATCAACTGATAATGGAAATCAACTTGTCCAAGGAAGAATTTTAGAAAACTGAAACAATTAAACACATTGACTCAATGGCGTACTTTATTACATTACAGTTTAATGTTTTAGCTTTCTCGACCTATCAAACTAAACACAAATGTGCAATAAAGAGAGCAAGTGTATGTCCCCGAGGTTCCAAGCAACTTAAAGTTGATAGGGTACATGCAACGAGACTTACACGAGCTGCAAAATGGGCGACTTACACTTTTATTGAGCACCACCTCATACGATTGGTACCACAACTTTATTACGCTTTTAGGCATCAACCCTGTAAAGTTTCCGAGCACACACTTTGTATGCAAACAAGCCCGTTGATCTTTACACGTGTAGAACCATTCCTTTGGATTTGTTTCTTTCTCACAAATGTCACACCAGTATTTACCACTTGCCTCTTCTTCTTCTTCATAGCATAGCGAGAGAAGATGATCATCTACTCTGTGCATTACCACTTGTGGTAGAGTAGCACATTTGAAGCACAATACAAATCCACAATCACCTTCAATGCACCTGAGGACATGTAATTCCTTGTCCTTGCAACCATTGCATATTTCCTCTTTTTCTGTTGGAATGTAGTATAAGGGATGATGGGGATGACTTGGATGGACGAATGGCTCAGAAACTAAACCACACAAGACATCAAACGTCTTATCCCCATGCTTGTACATGAAACCATTGGAAAACTGATAGCAAGCATCACACTGAAAGAAATCTTGCTCCTTGGTTGTAACTAAAGTGAGCTGATCATTGTGTAGCACATGCCTTATCCTTTGAGGACATTCAACACAGCTCTGATGGAGACAAAAATCACAATCCATACATCCATAAAAAGATTGGAGACCTATGGGATGGGTGCATGCGCTGCATATTTTGTTCTCCTCAAACATAATACCATTCCCATGGAGTTTTAAGTAATGCTCTGTGTGGCTGAAATGTTGAATCGTGTTTTCATCTATCACCACGTATGATTCTATATCTTCTTCTTCTTCTTCAGGTACTCCTTCGAGTTCTTTCCCGTTCCATACATCTTTTCTGGTAGCACATTTAGAATGAACGACGTAACCTGGACACCTATTACAAGAAAACCCACCACAAGTCCAATCCACCTTCTGGCGACATACTCTGCACACAGAATTCACAACTCCAAGAAGCAAAGTACGAGAAACACGGTGATCATGGCGATTAATGTTAATGACACGAGGAAGGCCAAGACAGTCTTGATGGATCATGAAATCACATTGAACACACATGTAAGGACTTCGATCTCCTTTGAGACCGCATGCATTACACGTAAAAGAAAGGAGTCTTGGAAGAAGAGTGATTTGGTGATCATGAGCATTCAAATCTACAAGTGACTGTGGTGGTGGGTTCAGAATACAACGCATGTCCAAGGTGAAGTTACAAGACGAACAATGATAAAACAATTCTTTATCAACGTTTCTTCCGCAAAGACGACATTTACCATCAGAGTAGTCCGGTGGTGTACCTGTGAGGAGCTTAAGAGGATGCAAGGAGTGGTAAGAGTGGCTTATCTCTGTTGGATGTTTTGGAACTTCTGTCGGGTGCCATACACAACCCACATGGAAGGCTACATCTTCACATTCATCACATTTGTAAGGAAGTCCACCAGTACGCTTCCCGCAGTTAGCAGAACAGTCGAACTTGGTCCGTTCCTTGAGAAGTGTGAGCTTGTGTGGGTGCGTTTCAAAATTGTCAATAACCTCTGGTGGGTTGTGCTTGGCACAGTGAAGATCCAAGTCGAAGTCACACATGTCACAACGGTAGAATAACTTCAAGATACTCCTACGACATAAATCACAGTTGTTATGTGATTCATGTTGAAGTTCGAGAGTGTGGTCAGGGTGGGATGGGTGGTCGATGATGAATGAAGAGATCTCGCCGTCACCACATTTCTTGTGCACGAAGAAATCACAGGTTTTGCAATAATAGCCATCACTCTCAGATTCAAAGCATTCACAACAATCACCTTTCCTAAGATCATTCCACGGGATCATAGGATGCTTGTGGATCAATGGCAGTGACACTCCCTCAGATTCCATTTGCTCTCTTGTTGTATACTCAGAAGAAGACGGTTACTCAAAGAAAAACACTCCCCTTAGACTCCATTTGGACGTGTATTAACAAGAAGAAGAAATGAGGTTGAACAGTGTGGCATCTCTTTCTCTGGCCACTCAAATCTTATTCCCTTCTCAAGTTTCTTTTTCATTTTTATTCTTTATATTATATGCTAATTTCGATACTTTTTGTGCGCTTTGTTTTTTTCTTCTTTTAAATTCTGCTTTTTTCAAATGAGGTTGAACAGTGTGGCATCTCTTTCTCTGGCCACTCGAGCTTTTGTCCTCCTTTCCATTTTTCAAGATTCTCCAACGACATAAATCACAGTTGTACATGTTTTACAATGGAAAGGAGGCTGCAGAAGTGCGTTTTTTGGAGTTTTGACACTAACCAGCACCAAACTATGCAGGCTGGGAGAGTTTATAAGTGCATATTAAATTTGATCATCAACTGACTATAAGAGATGATGAACGTAAAGGTAAACAGCCACACTGGATTGCAATTCATTAATTTAATATTTGGTTCGTTCTGGAAAAAGGCAGTAGGAGGTTACATACATTCAAGGCCATTCAAGGAATTAACATCTTGAAATTGCAAAAAGTCAAATTCATATATAAGAAGGTATTCCTTTCGGGATTTTAGAATAGAAACATAATGCTTAAAAAATCCGAAACTCTAATATACATAATGCATGTATTAGATTATACAGCGTACCCGTACGTCACACAGATTGTGCGTCTCGGTGAGAATTCGCTCCCAGACACAACATTCGAGGTGAGGAGGTCCCCAAGTACCCAGCGGTCCGAGCGTTGAAAGTGACAATACCTTTCTTCCCAAGAAAAGAAAGTTTCCACTGGTCTCTGGCATACACCGGTTTGGAAGCCCTATTCTATGCCCCAAAGAAGCATCCTCCAAGAACCTCTTCGCAGTAGTTCTTGATTTTCTTCTTGATTCAAAGATAATTTCAAACGACAGCTACCAATTCTCAGCAGGTTCCAGAAATAATCTCAATGGCTCACAAGTTCACTGCACTAGAGAAAGGCAAACAACAACTCAGAGACAGGAAAGACAGCAGAGTGATGAGAATTAAAGCTCCTAACCTCGACAACTCACACCTCATCCGAGAAAATGCTCTCACTCTCATAGGAAGGCTCACCAATCCTCAGGAACAAGACATGCGGTCCCTCATCCCTTCTCTTCCCCGTAATTGGAGCCTGCGGGGCAAAGCGGTGGGAACAGACTTGGGAAACAACTGCTTCATGTTTAGGTTTGACAGAGAAGAAGACATGAGAAGGGTCCTTGATAATAGACCTTACCACTTTGCGTACTGGATGGTCATCCTACAGCAATGGGAGCCTATCATCTCCAGCTCTTTCCCCTCGATGATTCCCTTTTGGATCAGGATCAAAGGCTTACCTCTCCACTACTGGCATGAGGAGATGGTCTGCAGAGTTGGACAAGAGTTGGGTACCCTAGAAAACCATGAGCTTACTAAGACAACAGCCAGGGTGAGAGTGCTAATCGATGGACTTAAACCACTCATCATGGAGCCAATTATCGAATTCGACTCTGGAGAAGAGAGTACAGTTACTTTGGAGTATGAGAGGCTGGAGCTCCACTGCTCCTTCTGTTTTTCTCTACTTCATCGAAGGAGGAACTGTCCAGAAAAACATTTTGAGGAGAAATCAAGATCCCTGGATCCAGAAGCGATGAGAGAGAACAGAGGAAACGTACCATTGCAGACAAGACCTCCTCAGAGAATTAGGGAGGGATCCCAAGGAGAACTTCGATATAAGGCAACTTCCCTTCTACCCTCTATAGGAACAATCCAACCGGAAAACCCCACAGCTTCGGAAAATGAGATGAAACACACTTTCCAGGAAAGAGTGGATAGGCACGGGAACGCTTTTGGGGACAGAGTAAGCACTCGACAAACCCGAAACCCACCACCAGCGATCCCAAGACAACCGGGGGAAAACTCAAAGGACCTTTGGAGGAGTAATACAGCTCGTGGAAATTCTCAAGGCTACAGGTCTCCACCGTATGCAAAGAACAGGGAACAAACTAGCAAAACCTACCAGAGAGGAAGAGACCTCTTCCCACAGAGATCTGAAGGGATTTGGCGTCCCAAAAGTATTCAAGGCCCGGAGGGGGAGACAAACACGACAAAAACCCAAGAGGAACCCCCAACAACAAAAGATAATCAGCTGAGTGAAGGGCAAACGGGAGATATTGAAGGACATCATAATTCAAGAGAGGCAATGCTGGAAGAACTTCAGGAGAACACGAGGAAATATTTGAACTGTCCAGACCCTGTAGAAGCAGCAGCTAGGAGGCAAAGAGTCCTGGACGGAGAGGAAAATGGCCTAACAGAAGAGGCCACAGCAGACTTCCTAATAAGAGGACACTTTGAGCCTCAGGAACAATTGCATCTCGGGGGAGAACTTCAGGAGTTATCCAAAGGAGTTGCCTTTAAACAACTTCAACAGGCGACACGCCAATACCTAAGTCATCCTGACCCCAAGGAAGCAGCAGCAAGAAGGCATAGAGTGTATTTTGGAGATGAATCCAGACTGATGGAAGAGGCAGCTTTGGCAATGATGGTTGCGGACACATCTCATCATCAAGTGTCACAGAGACAACTGAGAATATCAGACAGCAACCCTGTCACTCCGCCCCCCATGAACGAGGTACCAAATCATACTTGGCTGCTTCCTGACCCACCTTTGATCCTTAGCCCAGAAGCTATGGAGGACAAGGAAGATGATGATATGGAATCTAGATCTAGTAATGGACCTCCACAACTGAACCAACCTGATGCAATCCAAGAAAGGGCGAGAGGAAAAAGGATAAAGTCAGTAATAATCAGTCCTACATCAGATAAGGAGAGATCACCACAGAGCCCCCAAGCAAACATTGGTACAACAGAGACCGTCAAAGCGACAAGAGTCCCTCACAGTGGCACAAAGCGAAGGACAAAGAAATCAGCAGCAAGAAGAACTCCCCGGACGAGTCCTAACATCCTCCGGGGGACGAGTTCAAAAGTAAGAAAGATTTCACAAATCCAACACTCGCCTGGCAGAATTGTAGGATCAAAAGAGACAACAAACAGACTTACAGCAACTGAAAAAACTTCCGAAGTGGGAGGACCGTCAAGAGTTGTCTCAAACCCCCCAATTCAACTAATTCCAGCTATGAAGAGAAAGAGGTCGGATTTTCGGCTTCCGGCACACGGGGCTCCTTAGTCTCTCTAAGCTGGAACTGTTGTGGGTTGGGGAACCCCATAACAGTCCAGCGCCTAAAAGAAATCCAAAGGAAAAATGATCCAGACATTGTTTTTCTTATGGAGACCAAAAACCCTACTGACATGGTGCTTAAAGAGCTTCACTGGCTTCAAACAAATAATTACATTGCAGTGCCGCCACACTCCCCTGGAGGAGGAGGGCTCTTTCTCTCCTGGAAGAAAGACATCGATCTTCATGTTATCTCCACCTCAGACAATTTCATAGACACCACTATCAAGCACAAAGGCAAATCTTTCCATGCGACCTTTGTCTATGGGGAACCTGACCACACCAAAAGGCTTCAAACTTGGAACAGAATCTCGGATTTACAGCCAGAGGAGGGAGGGCCCTGGTTCCTTTCAGGCGACTTTAATGAGATTGTCGACAACAGTGAAAAGTGTGGAGGACCAGAGAGAGCGGAAGGGACCTTCTGTGCTTTTCGGGCGTTTCTTTCAGAGAATGAGCTTTTTGATCTGAAATTCTCAGGAAGCTTCCTTTCTTGGCGGGGGAAAAGGCACACTCACTTGGTGATGTGTAGACTAGATCGTGCACTGAGTAATAGTGAATGGACGGAGATGTTCCCTTCAGGCCGCAATCAGTACCTGAAATTCGAAGGATCAGACCATCGACCCCTGCTGACTTTTCTAGACCCATCAAGGAAAAAGTGTCAGAGAATTTTCAGATACGACAGACGTTTAAAGGATAACCTGGAGATAAAAGAGATTATAAGGAAAATTTGGGATTCAGCTCCCAACCTCTCAGTGGAAGAAAAGCTCTCTCTATGCAGGAAAGCGATCTGTGCTTGGAGTAAGGAGTTTCACGAAAACAGCCAACGAGCCCTGGAAGAGACGAGAAATCAGTTGGAGACAGCCATGTCAAACCAAGTTCCAAATGAGGTTTTGATCCATGAGCTAAACTTGAGACTATTACAGCTATACAAAGCGGAGGAGGAATTTTGGAAACAAAGAAGTAGACAGCTTTGGCTAACCCTTGGAGACTCAAACACGGGCTATTTTCATGCAGTGGCAAAAAATAGAACAGCAAGAAATAGATTCTCTGTGATTTCAGACAAAGATGGCTTACCAGTTTATGAGGAGGAAGATATTGCTAAGGTGATTGCTGAATATTACTCCAGCCTGTTTCAAACTACTGGCTTTGATGGACATCAAACGGTTACCGAAGCTCTCAAACCTTGCATCACAGAGGCTCAAAATGAGATACTTATTCAAATACCGCATGCGCAAGAGATCAAGGAGGCTACCTTCGCCATTAATGCTGACAAAGCCCCTGGGCCGGACGGCTTCTCAGCTTGTTTTTTTCCAATCCAACTGGGAGGTTATTGGCCAAGCAGTGGTAAAGGAGATCCAGCTCTTCTTTTTGTCAGGAACCCTCGCACCAGAAATTAACAAAACCCATGTGAGACTAATTCCAAAAATTACAGGCGCGCAAAATGTAGAAGACTACAGACCTATTGCTCTTTGTAACATCTACTACAAGATCATCTCAAAGCTGTTGTCCCTAAGACTACAAACGGTGCTAGGATGTATCATTTCTGAGAATCAATCAGCCTTTATACCAGGAAGGGCAATTGCCGACAATGTGTTGATCACTCATGAAGTTCTACACTTCCTAAAGACGTCTAAGGCAGAGATAAATTGTACAATGGCTGTCAAAACGGATATGTCTAAAGCCTACGACAGGATTGAGTGGCAATTCATCTCACAAGTTTTGGAAAGACTAGGTTTTCATTCGATCTGGTCTAATTGGATTATGCAGTGCATTACAACAGTGACCTACTCCTATCTAGTGAATGATTCTGCCTATGGAGAAGTGAAACCTTACAGGGGAATTAGGCAGGGAGATCCGCTGTCCCCGTACATCTTTATCCTTTGCAGTGAAGTCCTGTCAGGCTTGTGCAAGAGTGCAGAGAGGAAAGGAGAATTACAAGGTGTGAGAGTAGCGCGAGGAAGTCCGAGAGTGAGTCATCTCCTCTTCGCAGACGACACAATGTTTTTCTGTCTAGCAACAGAGACAAACTGTGAAACCCTGGTCAGAATCCTCAAGGACTACGAAAAAGCTTCAGGCCAGGTGATCAACAAAAGTAAATCTTCTGTAACCTTCTCGAGCAAGTCATCTGCGCAAGTAAAGGAAAAAGCTAAATCTTTATTAGGGATAACTAGAGAAGGAGGGCTAGGCAAGTACTTGGGTTTGCCAGAGCATTTTGGTAGAAAGAAAAAGGATTTATTCACCTCGCTGGTAGATAGAATTCGCCAGAAGGCAATTAGCTGGTCCACAAAGAGACTCTCCAGAGCTGGTAAATTAACGATGTTGAAGTCTGTGCTCAGTACCATTCCAACCTACTCCATGTCATGCTTCCTCTTACCTGTCAGTTTATGCAAGCGAATTCAATCAGTTTTGACAAGGTTTTGGTGGGATGATAATGAGGAAAAAAAGAAAATTTGCTGGGTTTCTTGGGAACAATTGACAAAACCGAAATCTGAGGGAGGGTTAGGGCTACGGGACATCCAGCTTTTTAACCAAGCCCTGCTAGCTAAAATAGCATGGAGAATCTTAACAGACCCGGGTTGTCTCCTAGCAAGGGTGTTGTTGGGAAAATACTGTCATGGCAAACATTTTTTGGATGTTGATTCTCCCCAAACTTGTTCCCATGGCTGGCGAGGAATACTACACGGCAGGGATCTACTAACAAAACATTTAGGAAAGGCTGTTGGGAATGGGCAAACGATACGTTTGTGGAAAGACTCTTGGATCTCTTTGGATGGGGTACACAAACCCTTTGGGCCAGTAAAGGAAAGGGATATGGATCTAACGGTGGCTGATCTACTTACCGACGATCTAAAGTGGAACACAAAAAGAATTCAAGAAGTTTTACCTGGATTTGTATCTCAAATTCAGTGTCTGAAGCCAAGTACAAAAGGAGCAGATGACTCATACATTTGGCACCCATCAACAACTGGAATTTACTCTACAAAGTCAGGTTATTGCACAGCAGCCTCCTCCTCCTCCTGCACAGAGCCACAAAATAATCATCAAATGACGCATTTCGACTGGATTAAGGACATATGGGCAGGGAACTTTTCACCCAAAATGCGAACCTTTCTCTGGTCGGCCGTTCATAATGCCCTCCCGTTAGGGAAGAACCTACAAAGAAGAGGCTTGTTAACAGCGGCACCTTGCATCAGATGTAAAAGCACAGAAGACAACATACACATTTTCTTTACCTGTCCTTTTGCAATGAAGGTTTGGGAATGTGTTCCACTGCGGCAGGCAGTACCAATAGATGCAAACGACGCCTTTAAAGATGTGGTGAGGAAATTCCGATCAACAGTTTGCCTCCCTCCATCAGGAATCGTCTCCAATGTACTACCCTGGATTTGTTGGACAATCTGGTTAGCAAGGAATTCTCTAGTGTTTGAAGGAAAAACGATCTCACCAGGGGACACGGCGGCAAGGGGGATACGACTGGCACGAGAATGGTCCCTAGCACAAGGGATTCATACGAATATCCACACAGCTCAAAAGGGACTCCATCCTTCAGGACCCAGAGAGCCGAGTGTAGGTGAGATCCCGGAGATTATAACATGCAGATCCGATGGAGCCTGGAATGCGAAAACAAAAAGGGCGGGAGCAGGATGGATCTTCTCGGGACTTTCTCTGGGAAAGGATATACAGGGCTCCTCGATCAACACTTTCGTCGGCTCACCCTTGGTTGCAGAGGCTTTGGCACTACAATCAGCAATCACAATGGCGAGATCTCTAGGTTTTTCGAAACTGAAGTGTCTCTCCGACAACTCAACGCTCGTTCGAGCTATTACCGGTAAAGTTCAGTCAAAAGAAATCATCGGCATCATTCATGATGTCCGATTGATCTCCTCTGAGTTTACAAATGTTTCCTTCTCTCTTATTTCCCGTACGGACAATTGTATCGCCGACGGCTTGGCCAAAAGGGCCTTATCTGCTTCTCTTCTGTAGTAAACTCTTGGGATGGGCTATGTTTTGGGCCCAAACCGATTTTCTTGTTTTAATCAAAAGTTCAGTGACAAAAAAAAAAGATTATACAGCGTATGTTTTTTCTTCTTATGTTGAGAAAGAAAATGAATTAGACCAGGGAACGATCAACACTCTTTCTCTCTTCTGTACATAAAATTTTATAAATTAAAAAAAAAAAAAGGACCAAAATCAGATAAAAACCGAATAAATCTTTCTCTCCCCTCCTGTCTCATCTAACTCGCACATACCTATATATATATACATGTATTTGACATCATTTAGTCACCATTTTAAGACATTACATAAAACACAATGCCAAACCAATTTGTGTTTTTTTTAACAACTACCTGTTCATGGGCAGCCTTGAAATCAGTCATTGTCAGTGGACGAATATCTGTGCAGCTCTACATTGACATTTACTGTCAAGCTCGAGTTTAAGTTCATAAACGTGGTTTTCAGGGCCAGCTTTTGTATAGAAATCAAAGACATACCTTCAGGGTCTAGATTAACTTTAGTCTCCTTAGAATCAGCTAATACTAACTACAGTGAGGAAAATCTTGCCAGTGGTCTCAGCCCACTTCACTTCAGGATGACGGCTGCAAAACACACATGAAAAAGCAATCAATCACATTTCACGACCAAAGAGAAAACATAACAAAAGAGAAACACCAAATACGAATACAACAAACAGGTAATTAACTGGAACTTCAACTAATACCAAATAATAAAATCAAAATTATAACACAAGCTTAAACCCTAAAACCCTGAATCCAATAGCTCCGAGATTCTACCAATACAATAAACCCTAAACCCTAATTTGTTTTCCGGATTCCTCAGAAATCCAATGATACTATTAAGAATCAAGAAAAACCCATGAGGAAAAAAGAAGATGAAAAATAAACAACAATGTACATGTTTTATTCTTAAGTTTTCCTTCACTATGCAGGGTGAGATGTGTTTTAATAGGTTGATCAGACAATATTAACTTAGATAGACCATCAACTAATATTGCTGAACCAATACAATTATATTTTTATGTAAAACCAGCTAAATCAAGTTTGCTTAATGAAACTAAATTACGGGAAATAGATGGAACATAAAGAGTTTGAAATAAATCCAAACAAAATCCACTATCCATAATAAGACGATAAGTGCCAATATCTTCAACCGGCACCTTGTCTCGATTTCCCATAAGTAAGTAGTTGTCATTTGAGTTTATGTTCTGTATCGTAAGGAATCCCTGCATGGAATTAGTTACATGTACATTAGCACCACTATCTATCCACCAAGTTTTAGAAGAAACAGTAGTAAAATTTGATTCGAAAAAACTTACGGAACCTAAAAGGTTACCTTTCTTTTCGAACCATTCTTTTCTTTTAGGGTAATCTTTCTGAAAATGTCAATCTTTCTGCAAAAAATGGCATTTATCATCTTTTCTCTGTTAGTGGATTTGGCTCATCCTCACGTAATGCCAAATCCAAGTCTAGTAATTCTAATGTGAACCCAATTTTCTCTTTCCATTCTGAGAAGTTGGTTCCAATAAAAATTGACAGGCGAGACCATGGATGACAAACTAGCAGGAAAAGAAGCTGCGGTTTTTGAGATACACAAAATTTAGTTTAGACATCAAAACATTAATCAACACATATATACAATTATTGAAAACAAGAAATCATGGAGCTCTTGTGGGTAACAACCATATTTCATTAATAATCATAGAATTCAAAAACATTTATGAGTGATGTATCAAATTAGTCAGACTAAATTATCTGTGGATATATTTAGTCTACACAATACAATTACTCTATAAGTTATTTGAACATATCTTGAGTACATAGTCTATCTGTGGGTAACTAATCATTACTCAAAGTATCAAATACTTATTCGAACAATAATTTCATTTCACAAATCAATTTAGAGTAAAGTCACTATGGTGATATCTTTAACTCTAATTTTGCTCTTTATATGAAATATTGTTTTATAAAATTATACACAAATTAATTAATTTAATTTCTATACGCTTTATGTATAGAAAAATTTGTGCATCAATTATTTCTTATTTCAGAGAACAAAAGAGAATACATACATATAATGTATGATTCATGATTTCCGAAAACTCTCATCGGTTTTAACTGGACAAACTTAAACACTAATTTAGATCAAAACTTCAACACCTAAGAATCAATCTACTTTCAATCTCTAAAACATAAAATCTATTATACTTTCCGGACTTAGTTTAGATGTTTATAACCATTAGCTCTGATAATACATGTAAATATGATTCTACATGAACCCTAAGATCTTCAACATCTAAACTAATCATCTAATAGAAATTTAAGAAAGGTTATCGAAATACCTCCATTCATGATTCGGGGAATCTTCTTGAACGGTTTTGATGTGGAATATGAGTTCTAGATTTTCACTAGAACTTTGTTTTCTCTCAATAAAACTTTTGTGCCTTCTCTCCCCTTGCCTAAAACCTCGTTATGTGTTTTAGAGAATTTTTCTTGATGTATCTTTGTGATGGTCCAAAGACCACAATTTATAGGTGGGGATAGGGAACAAAAGCTTTCTCACCAAGTTTTGATAACTTTCTTGACAAGTTTTCCCTTTAATCTCAACCATTCAAGGTTGTATAATGATAAGTGTTTAGACTTCTAGAATCATTCTTTCATACAATGAACTTGTTCTCCTTTGATGCATTAAACTTACTTCATATGCTTTCCTACAATGACACATGTTTCATGAGTCATCTAATGAGAAAACTTCTAGAAGAAATCACTTGTTCATTAATCATCATCATTAGAAGCTTAACTCCCTTAATTACCATTTTATTGGTTACCAATTGTTTTTAGGATTTAATAATCTCAATAGAATTAAGTTTATCAAAAGATCACATAATGGTGTAGAAATATTCTCTTATTCTCTTCTTTAATGAAATATTTCTAACAATCGCTTCAAAAGTGTGAGCTTGTGATTGTGCGTCTCCAAATTGTCAATAACATCTCGTGGTGGTGGATACTTGGCACAGTGTAGATCCACAACAAAGACACACGTCTCACAACCATAGCAAAGTTCAACAGTGAATCTTCCACATAAAGAACAGCTAACACCTGAAATATGTCGAAGCTGGAGAGTGTGATTGGGGTCAGATGGATGGAGTCAGAGAGCTCGCCACATTTCTCGTGAACAAAAAGATCACAGAGTTTACAATAGTAGCCATCACTCTGAGATTCAAAGCAATCACAACAACGACCTCTCCTCAGATCATTCCAAGGGATCATAGGATGCTCGTGGAACAACGGTAGTGACACTCCCTCTGATTCCATTTGCTCTCTCGTAATACTTCAAAGAAGGAGAAGAAGAAAGACGGTGTTGAATAATGGTGGGTGTAATATCTCTTTATCTGGCCACTCAAACACTATCTCCTTCTTAAGTTTCTTTTTATTAAAACCTCTTTTAAGAAAAAGAAAACGTATCTCTGGTGCTTTCTATAAAGTAGCTTGGAGATAAAGATGTTGCTTACAATTTTTTTTTTTTTCTTGTTAGCTATATCTCTGTGGAGAATATATATTGTTTGTAGGATTTAATTTAGGTGGCAGAAATTGACTGTTATCGAAAGTATGGTTCTTCTCATTATCCTTCTCTTTGCAAAGTCACTATTCAAAGTGCGGTTTTGGAGTTCTGACAGTGATATAACCACCACCAAACTATGCAGGCTGAGAAAATAGTAGACTGAATACACTAGCCTTGAGATTTTAAACCGAACCAAAGTTTGGGGAATTCGGTTTGGTTTCGGTTAAGAGCGTGAAACTCATAGGTAATTAAAATTATATGCGGTTATTGGTTAATTCGGTTATGTTTGCTAAATCTGAAGTTCACTCTGCCAAAGAATTGTTACAACAATGCTACCAGCATGTTTACTTCCTGTGGCAGTGACAGCAAGCTCTTCTTGCCTTTTGGCAATGGTAAGGAAAGAAGAGCTGTTCCCTTCAAGCATAGTAATCTTTTTTTTTTTTGGCTCTTGCAAAACCACTAGCTACTCTTGCAGGAACTAAGAAAGGAAGTTAGAAAGAAAAGTCTCAGATGTTTTACAACAAAAGTAATCACAAACTTGTCTAATCAAAATGCTTTTGACCTTTTTCAACCTTACTTACTACTGCAGATTCCTCTTGAAATTGTGAGAGAGGTTTATTATAGCATAGACCCAGATCCGGCTCTTATCCATGGCCAAATGGGTGTGGGTCATGGTCCCAGATATTTTTTTACATGAATAGTAAAGAAAAATGGTCCAATTTTTTTTAAAAAAACCCAATTTTAAAGAAAAAGACCCAATTTTAAGGAAAAATAATTTTAAGGAAAAATGGTCTAATTTTCATAGTAAAATATAAATAGTAAAAAAAGTCCAATTTTTATAAAAAACATATGAAAAATGTTCTACATTTTTTTAAATACTATAAATACTAGGATAAGATCCATGCCTTGCGCGGGATGAAGCTATTATTTTTATTATGTTTTGAAAAATGAAACAATAACTTGGTTTCATTCGGATTAGAGGTGTTCAATCCGGATATCGGGTTTCGGTTCGGCTCGATTTTTTAGTATTTCGATTATTAAAATATAACTACTATTCTAAATCTATATGTACTTTAGTTTGATTTGGTTTATATATCATCTATTTTCAGTTTATTCAATTTTATACCAAAAAACATAATTATTTAGTTTGAGATCATATTATATATTATACAAATATATAATATGATCATATTTAGAGTCATATTGTCACAGATTCATTTATTAAAAAAATATTATATATTTAAATAAAATAATAAAAAATAAAAAAGGCTTCTATCATCTAATAAAATGATCAAATCTAGAATTAATATCGAAACACTAAATTTTGAAAATAAAAATAAAAAACAAAACAGAAGCATGAAAGAAAAGTTTTTATATTCTTCCATATTTAGTGTTCATCAAACCAATATGTCTTCGACTGAACACAACTCTGTTTGTTTAAAGATTAAAAAAAGTTGTAAAGAATTTCAACTAATTGTTGTCCATCAAATTTATAATATTTACTTCAATTTAGTTACTGTTAAAAAAGCAAAAGATCAAAATAAGAAGTCTCAGTTGTAATAAATTGTTAGCTATTTACAAATTATAATTATAGTTCAACTCATGTAACAAATAGATATTCATGCGTCGTTATAAATATATACATATTTACATGTTTCAGTTTAATCGGTTATAAATCAAACCATATCCAAATCCTATGGTTTTTATAAAATCACATCCATTCGGTTTGTATGGTATATACCAAAAATAAC